GGGGGCTGGCAGGACCTACAGACCCCCAAACTAGGGGTTGGGGAGGAGACCCCATCCACAGGCCACTTACGTCATCTCCGTTCTTGCCAGGGGGGCCAGCTGGACCACGGGGACCCATGGGACCCTAGGAGAGATGCAGGGCAGGGATGAGGATGCTGTGGGTTGACGGCTGTCCCTTGTCCCCCTGCCAGCCAGGCTGGGCAGTGCCGGGCTCCGGCAGCCCCATTCCCACAGCTCCCGACCGAGATTTCCCCGGGATGGGGACAGCGTGGTCACAGCCAGGGCTGAGAACAGGCAGCCTTGTCCCCATCCCCGTGGGACGTCAGGCCGGAGGAGGAGGTGGCAGGACTCACAGAAGCACCGGGCTCTCCGGGTTCACCGGGGGGACCTTGGAAACCTTGGGGACCCTGCGGGTCAATGAGGAAAAAAACAAAAAAAAAGGAAAAATCGGGTTAGAAAATGAGAAGATTGGGCCTGAAGACCCCTCTGGCAACGGTGGTGCCCCCCATATGGTGACAAAGGGACACACGTCCCCACGTGTTTCCGTAGCCCTCGGGAAGGGTGGGTGACCCCATCCTGCCCTCGCCCCATCCCGTCCCACCCGGCCACCCGCCACCCAAGGGGCCCTCGGGGCCGCTTGTCCCCAGAGCGAGACGGGAGGAGGAGATACTCACAGGAGCGCCAGGAGGGCCGGGGAGACCGCGGGGACCAGCTGGACCCTGGGAAGGAGAACGGCAAGTGGTGATGAGTGGCTGCCATGGCACCCTGTCCCCATGCCTGTCCCCATCACCAACCATTCCCTGTCCCCATTGCCACCCCATTGCTGTACCCGTTGCCATCCCATCACCACCCCAACCATCATCCCATTGCTGTCCCCATCACCACCTCATCCCTCTCCCCATCACCACCCCATACCTGTCCACACTACTACACCACTGCCACCCCATCCCTGTCCCCATCACCACTCATTCCCTGTCCCCATTGCCACCTTATTCCTGTCTCCCCCATTGCCACCCCATCGCTACCCCATCCCTGTCCCCATTGCCACCCATTCCCTGTCCCCATTGCCACCCCATTGCCATCCCATCCTTATCCCGATTGCCACCCCATCACCACCCATTCCCTGTCCCCATTGCCACCCATTCCCTGTCCCCATCATCACCCATTCCCTGTCCCCATTGCCACCCATTCCCTGTCCCCATTCCCACCCCATCCCTGTCCCCATTGCTACCCCATCCTTTTCCCCATCCTTTTCCCCATCCTTTTCCCCATCCCTGTCCCCATCCCCACCCCATCCCTGTCCCCATCACCCCATCCCAGGCCCAGCATCCCTCCCCATCCCTCCCACCTCCCACTCCTTGGCAGCATCCTCAGCGCCGCCGGTACGGGATGCGCTGCCGGCACCTC